TTTTCTATCTTTCTTCGACGGAGACTGTATTAGCCCGCAGTATGCGTGTATTCTTTGAAAAAAGCACGTTCTTTTACAGTTTTTCCAATATCGGGTAGAAACGAAGTGGCATTCATAGATACAACAGAAATGGGCGACCAGGTAAACTTTCTGAATAAGCGGGTCAGGTAAAGGGACTTTCTTGGTAATCTTGGACATGTTTCTGCAGGATACAAGAAAAAAAAGTACAGCATGTCGAAAAATTTTCAAGAAGCGGAAAAACTGACCGTTCAAACAATTTAATTTGTACGCGAAAGTTTAAACTTCGTATAAGGCAGACGATTACTTTCTGAAACTGTAAATCGTCGTTTTAAGTAAATTACTAGTAGTTAAAACAACGAATTAACAACGAGTATACATTACGTAATACTTTCTAAAACTTTGCAATCTTAACACTAGCATTTTCTGAATTTGAAATTAATAACTTTTCCTTAATTAAAAGGAATAGAGCCACAATACCCAGAGGAGAGAACAATCTTACAGTTATGATGTAAAAGATCAAGTACAAAGATAAACAATTTCTATGAATATGCAAATTCGCTAAAAGCCAATCGGTGAATTATCACTGAGAACAGTGAATAGTCACTGATTTGCAGTTATAAGTATACCACTGAAAATCGCAGTGGTGTACTTATAATTGTAAATCAGCGACCATTCAATGTTTTCAGTGATAATCCACCGATTAATTTCAAGAGAGAAGAGCATTTATGTCTCCATTGTCTATGGAACATTTTTGTCTCTATTTAACGCAACTCTTCTGGCATGGGAGTATTTTTAAAATAAAATTATAATAACAACTGAAAGGAGATGTGCAAATACGGAATCTGTGCATATCAAAGAAATGCAGACATATAAATGTTTTATCGTTTGAATCTCTATTTCGGAATAATTTAACGGCCGACACAGAAAAAAAAACGCATCTTAAGGTGCGCATGATGCATCATTTATCTTTGTTATTCGCCAAATATTAAATAATAAATGTTGCACCATGCATATCACGCGTGAAACGGAATATACCCTAAAGGTACCCATACACGTTCCGGAAATCCTCTGAGGAAAAACTGTGCAGTCCTGGCCTTCGGGATTTCCGGAGCGTGTGTAGTAGAAAACTGCGCAGACTTGGCGGACTGTTCAGGCGGCCTGATACTAATCGAAAAACTATTCTGAATATCTGCGCAGTCCCGAACTGTACAGGCCGATTGTAGTGTGTATGGCGTTTTCCGTCAGTTGTTTAATGAATGTTCGAAATCATGCAAGTATATTCGCAAAGAGCCTTAATAAAACCGCAATTATCGCAATAAAATGTTTCGTCAATCAGATATTTTTTCACTACACGAAAAGTTTTCTGTCTTAAAAGCGTGCGTTAGCAAGCATAAGTGTATCTTGTTTTTTAATAACTAATAGTGTAACTAGTGCTAGCAGGTTTAAATAAGTTGCTTCGTCCATCCGCAAGTAATTGTGCCAATCTGTAGGCACAACCTTCAATTCTGTCAGCAAGTTTATGTGGGAAAACTGCCCCCTTTTTTGTAGCCACTCTTTGGACCATATTTTCCGGCCCCTTTTTTTCTTGCGATTTCTATTCAGAATGCACTGTCTTGCCAATATAAAACCAACAAGAGCCAAACTATCGTCCGTCGCGTCCATTGCTCACTAGCGAACTGAAAGTTATTCCGGAGCGTGTGTGCGCAAGGGTTCGTTCAGGCAATCCCGAAGGCCAGGACTGCACAGTTTTTCCTCAGAGGATTTCCGGAACGTGTATGGGTACCTTTAGACAACCAAAGACAGGAGACGCGTTCACGCAGGGTTTCGTCAATTTCGGAGATAAGGCGATTCCCGTAAAGATAATCCTATGATTCAAAGCGGCGTGTCGGCCACGGGTAGTCTGGGTGGGCAAGAGGGGGATTATTGGAATAGGGAAGGGACGCGGAGCGAGGCACGACGGAATTTCCCACGACAGGTGACACGTGAGGACCCGGCAGTCACGGCGGTGCAGGTGGATCAGGTTGGGAAGCAGAGACGCGTGGTGGGAGGCCCAGGCATGCCACCAAAGGCGTCCGGAGGAGCCTACGGCTGATGGCAGAGAACGATCCGTAAACGCTTAAGACTGTCGTAGACGCAAAGGTCAAACCAGACTAGCAATTGCAGACTCGGATTGAATTGGAAATAGCGATTGTCCATTAGCAAATGAGAGTCGATTAAATCGCTGGCTGCTTTGCCCTCATTGGCTAGAAGACAATCGCCAGCAAAATCGAGAGCAAAGCAGCCAGCGAATTAATCGACTCTCATTGGCTAGAGGACAATCGCCAATCGCCAATCCCAATCCAATCCGCGTCTGCAATTGCTAGTCTGATTCGGCCTTCAGGCAAGGCAGAGAAAAACGCGAGGGGGAAGCCGCTGAGGGCGTTGTGGTGTCTACACCGTATACACCACATACAGATTTGCGGCGTTACTGGGCATCACTGGGCATTACTACTCCCTAAAAGTCAATCAGTGACTATTCACTGTTTTCAGTGATAATTCACTGATAGATTTTTAGAGAGTAGGCATTAGTTTGTGCATTATAAAGATAAAAGTAAGATGAAACAAGACAGATAAGATAAAATAAGATAATAAAATTAAGTAATGCCCACTGGGCATTAGTGGGCATTGTGTACTCTCTAAAACTGAAGCAGTGAAAAATCACTGATTATCAGTGTATAACTATTATTTCAAATAGTGATAAGTATACCACTGATAATCCGTGGCTAGTCACTAAACACAAAGCCAAAATCGTAGTGGTGCTCAATCGTACCATAGCGTTTCTTAATAAAATTAGGTAGAGAAAGGCAGAAATTTAAGTGAGATTAATGGTGATGTACTTATGTTCCGAGCACTTCTTTTTTTGCCTTAATTTACGTAACATCTTGTCGTAAACTATTATGTCACTTTGTGCTCTGACCCTTAGTCTAAATAAAGAAGGAACGTATGTGTGCACAATATAGTCAATATATTTATGTTCGACTTACATCTGACTTAAGCGGGGAGCGCACACTTTTGCATAAGTGCATAAGCATATGCAGAGGGAATTTGATTGGCTCATTTCCTTATGCATTTGCTTGTGGACCAGTCAATTTCTTTATGCATATGCTTATGCTCTTATGCCAAAGTGTGTGGCTTCCTGCATGCTCGATCTTGTATGTACAATCTTGTCGCGTCTATTGCTTGTCGCATCTTAACTGCGACTGCAACGCCGCATTTTGCGCGCACAGCGTCACTCTTTCTCTCAAAATGAGTTCACTGACAAAATCAGTGAAATTTTCACTAATTCATTTCTAGAGAGCGGTGTGCAAGATTTTGGTCAGCGGTTTCCCCCTCGGAAAAACGTAAGTCGTGAAAGACTATTGTATACGACTTACTTATACTAAAAGATTTCCTTCTCGGACCCTGTCCTTGCAAATCGTCCCCGGTGATTATCGCATTGTGCGATACAGGCGATCTCGCCATCTCACAATGTTACGTTTAACGGCAGATTTTCGACACTTAATTCCACTTCTTAGGGAAAAGGACATCGAGATAATCGAGACAATAGTTTCCGAGATGTGAAATATTCCCAAGAGGATCACTCGTGAGCCTCGGAATAGGTCTAGATGGTGGAGCTCTTGTTTTCCACTTAATATTTCAGATTGGCTTTGCACTAAAAGAACTTTTGGTTGACCCCTGATTTTGACACGACTTTGGAAGAATTTTAGTTGCGAAGGAAAGAGAGGCTCGCCACATTAAAATATAAAACACATAAAGATACGAAAACTTATAAAAGTGACAAATAAGGCGTTTTCGCTAAGAGGAAGGCGATTCAAAAATTTTGACGAAACAAAAGACGAGAGAGACGAAAAAATACGCTCCGGTTAATCACAAGTTACTTTTTCTAAAAACTTTTTTCCCCCCCATTCGTCCGTCAATAGGAAATGTGGGACGAATTGCAATGTGTACCAAGCTGTGCTCGCACCACTTATTCTCCAAAATTCTTAAAATTCCTGCATCACTAACGACGTCGTCCATTTACCCGAATATGCTAATTAGTGCATTCACGCCGGCTATGTACGCCGCATGACCGAGTGCTGCCCCGACGTCCCTGCTTAGTTCCGAGGGCAAGGGACGTAGGCAGCAACGAAGAGAGGCTTAACGGGCAGACCGAGGACGCGTCTTTCTTTCCCGTCCCCCCTCTCCCTCCCGCGCGTGATGAGAAACGGCGGGGGTCTTGGAAGAGCGGCGAGAGAAAAAAAAAGAGGGACGGAGAGAAGAAACGAGGCACGACGATAAGGACGATTTCGGCACTGAGATACGTGAGGTTTCGACAAAATCCTCGATGACTCGCACCAATGATCTGGACCTTAGCAGTGCGACCGGAAATTTACCTAATCTCAGGAGAACAAAAACGTCCTACCTGTCGTGACCCAAAGCTACCTGCCGCCGTTCTGGGGATGAAGTCTATTGTTAAGGGAATGGTCGGCAAACGGAGCGTCGAGACACTCGTCTCACTCTGCCCTTTCTTTTGTATTAACGCGTTTTCCGCACTTTTGTGCACACAGGTAGACGGAGCCGATACAAAGTCCGTTCGAATGCATCGACTCTTCCCTTAAACAACACGACTTCAAGAACATTCTGTAAGGCTGGTTCGACAGAATCGGTTGTTGAAGCCGATTTCTTGCGTACTTGCCGCGTCTATTGTAGAATCAGCGTAAAGACCGAATCAGACTAGCAATCGCTGACTGAAGGATTGGATCGCGACTGGCGATTGTCTTCTAGCCAACGAGAGTCGATTAAATCGCTGGCCGCTTCGCTCCCATTGGCTAAAGGACAATCGCCACCTCCAATTCGATACGAGTCAACAATCGCTACTCCGCTCGCAAGAAAAGGGCTTCGCGCGCGGGGCCCTTGGCGTAGCCGCGTGTGAGAGAAGCGAGTCGCGGGGAGTCGCTTACTTGAGGAAGTAGATCTGGCCCTCGGGGGTGCGCGCCTGCTCCCATCCGTGCGGCAGCGGGCCCAGGTCGTCGACCGTGCTGATGACGTCGTAGCTGCGCTGCTTCTGATGATGATGGTGACGCGCGTGCGGCTGCGGCGCGTGTTGCGGCGCTTGCTGTGCCGACGCGTACGTCTGCTGGAGGGAGGCCGGGCTGCTGTGGGCGCGGGGATGCGAGACGGTGAGGCCGGCCGCGGCGGCCACGGCGGCCGCTGCCGCGATCGCGCTCGCGGTGCCGTTCGCT